CACTGACTGAGGGGTTGTCGCGCTCGATGAATACTGGGGCGACCCCTGCTAACCATTCGGACCTGGTGCCTGCTTTACTGCTCTGCGGGCGGCTTCCCACCTCCCCGGGTCCCTTCCTTTCCCCAAGAGAATCTGAAGGTATGTCCCTTCGGAAAGCCGTCGTTGCTGTGGATGCAGACCATCGGCAAAAGAAGCGCTGTTCCCAGCGCGGATCGCAGGGGGCGGAAGACCTTTATAAAAGATACTTGGAGCACAAACGTAGCCGCGAGTGCTCCAGCGGCAGGGGGACGCTCGCTGGCTCTGTCGGAAGAGTGCCGCCTGCGGGGCCGCCCAGAACTGCTCGCGACTCTGCGTCCGCGGTACTGCCCAGACCTGGAAAGACACATGTCTGATCTCCCTTTCCCCAGCTTTGCTCAGCTTGATGGAGAGGGTGGAAGAGCACATGCACTCCGTCAAAACTGTACTTTCGTTATACTAGTCTTCCTTCAAAGTAATAAAGAAGAGGTTTGTGTAGTTACCCTGTGCTAAGGAAACACAAATTATCTTTTCTGGAAAACCTCTTCTTTCTTTGGTTAACTCTTACAGAATACAGCTGGCAACTTAGCTCTTAAAGTAAGAATTGTATCAGTTTCTAGAACATAGTTTTTTGTTACACTGCCAGAAATGTGGGGTTTTTTGATAGGCATATCTGATAGGTGAATTAAAAATTTGCTTTTTTGTGAGTTTCAGTCTATTTCTTCTACATTTGTCTCATGCATAGAACAAAAAGCAGCATACAGTGGTTGCACAGTAAATCATATTCTTTAGAGCACCCAGAACTTAATTTCTACCCTATGTCAAATGTAATATTAAAAAATAATCATATTCAAGGAGAGGAGAGATCCCATGGAAGGGTAAGTGGCAAATGAAAATGTTTAGAAAACAACAACTGCAGACATTTGGGAGAGAAATAGTCATGCTCTTGCTCGTTAGCTAGCAGCTGCTAAGAGGAATTGGGAAAGAACTTCCATTGTGGATGGTTATTGCATGACCTCCTGCTACCATTCTTATTTTTCTGTGAACTGAGCTGCTGATACTGGCTATTACCCAACTAAGGCCCTGGACCACAAGAGTGATTTGGGAAGAATGCAAGAATTGCACTATATTCTCTTTCTTCATCTTTCAGTTAATCTGCTGAACAAGTTACTTGCATCCAAGTGGTTTAAATTCTGGCTTAAAATACTAAAATAGACTGTACTGACCAATTACAACCCAGTATTATTTTGCTTATCTGTCAGATCGTGAAACCAAGCGAGAGATGCCTGGAAATGACTTTTCTTTCCACATAATGGAAGTAAAGCACACCCATGTCCAAAGCTCTTGTGCCCCATCTGTGTACTTTCTCTACTGGATCCCACCTCTCCCCAGTAATATGGCATGAAAGCAGAAGCTTCTCTGCAATGTTCCTTTGTTATAGCAATAAATTATATTTCTTTGTAATTCACCAATCTAGTGATAAACAGTCTGAAATGAACTATAGAATGACACAAGAGAGGAAGGGGAGAACCACCTCATCTGGCAGAACATCTTAATTTATCTCTCCCAAGAAATTCTGGTGTTCTTGAAGAAATTGGCATGTTTTACCTAATAAGACATATGGAGGGTCTGTTCTTTATAAAATACAGATGACAATTCTAATACCACTGAGATAAGCAGAACAGACTACACCTACAATAGTTTCGTTTTTATTATCCCAAGCAATGGACTTTTTTTTTCTTTTTTTCTTTTTTTTTTTTTTTTAAACATGTAGCTTTCAGAAAATCTGTAACCTTCTGTTCCTACCCTGCAGCTTGAAGCTCTTTGTTAGGGGATGCTCGAGCATCAGTGTTAGTTATAATTGTCAATAGGAGGGCTCCAGAGGTACAAAATGTCAGCCCAGACTTTGTTCCCTTGTCTTACACATTATTGAGGTGTCCTCAGCTACAACATTATATTGCCACCCTATATATGCCTTGCAGGGTGTAGATGGTCTGACTGGGTTGATTGAATATGTGATATTTCTCCATATGCTGTGTAAGGCACCTGCTATATGTATGTATGTGCTATTTGCACATGTTCCAGATACAAGTTCTTCATGTTCCTCTAGCAGTACTTATCACTCTAGGATGAGGGCTTCACAAACATCTGATCACCACCTCTCAGCTCACCTCTATGTGTGCTTCCAAGAGTTTATTATGTCTCTGACAAAGAGCTGAGAGACAGTCTATGAACTAATTTCTCAACTTCATTTTTTCTTTAGGTACTTTCCAGTTTCCAGGGAACTTTGTAGCTTTAGAAAACAGCACCAATTGGCTGAAAGTAGTTGCACAGTCAAGTCATAAGTGCTTTGTGACCAAATGTGAAATATGAAGTTAGTGGAAAGTGTCCCCTCCTGAGGCGAGGGGTTTGAAACTAAATGATCTTTAAGGTCCCTTCCAACCCTAACCAGTCTATGATTCCATGATTGTCCTACCTCACCTAGGTTGCTGCAACTGGGGGATATTGGTGTTAATGGCAGCAATCTGCTGCCTAAGCCATGCAACTTCTCCATAAATGGATTTATGCAGCTCTGGCTCTTTTCCTCAACACTATCCATCCTCTGTGCTAAACGAAGCAAAGGCTTTGGTGAATAGCATTAAATAGCAGATATTTAATTAAGACTATATCATAATGCATATGTGCAAGAAAACCAAATCAAGATCACCCAGGGAACTGTAATTCTGGCCTCTAGAGCCTTACTTCAACATAATTTCATAGCTTAATACATGTTAAATTAGGTTCTCCACATATTTCTTTCTCACAAATGTGTTATCAGAAATACCACGTAAATCTGTTTTGCTAATCTTCGCTTACTGCAATGCAACATTCTCCTATGTGGATCACATGCTAAAGGCTAATATTTTCTTTCCTTGGTCATTTGCCTTTTTTTTTTTTTTTTTTCTCTGCCAGTCTCTTGTGTGTATGCTCTACACATCTTGCCTGTATTCCTAACTTGAAGATCTCTACAGTGATAGTGATTTTACTGATAACAATCAGTAAAATATTACTAACTTTAACGTACACAACTAGCACAGTTCAGCTCAGAGTAGACCTGGAAAATGTAACAATGCTTGGTTGACAGGTTGGTAAAAGCCTGAGACATCTGATGCAATATGATAAATATGACTATACGCCACCCAAAACTCAATTCCCATTTCCTGAACAGCCAGGCTTCTGGCTTTTCAGTAGCTGCAGATGCAGATTCTTGTCCTATTCTACAAATAATTTTGACTTTTAAAGGGTTTATTCCACTCCAGAATGCAGAATTAATTTAGATGAATTAAAAGTCCCTTTCTCTGAGCTATCATTGCAAGTTTACATTCTGATCTGAAACCCTGGGACACTGGCATTTGAAACATCTTTAGCCCAGTAATGCATATGCTTCATAATCATATCTATAGAACTGATGGTGCTAGGAGCATTCTACTACTAAAAAAAATGTATTAAAAATTAAACTGTACACAGCTTAGGTGGGGAGAGGCAGTGGGTGGCCTTCTTTTTTAAAAAATAATGCCTTCTGAGATGAACAAACATTAATAACAGCCTGTTTTTCTACAGGAAGTACTACAATTATTCTCTTCCTTGGTCGGAACAGTAGGCTAACAGCCTTGTCAAGTTTCTATTCTTCAAAGACTTGAAAAGACTCTAAACTTCAAAGTTTTTCATTGTATGAGCACCTGTGCATAAGACTAGTGTTGATTAGAAGTTTATTGATAGTAATCCTGTTCTGAACTGACAGAAACAAATAGGTTCTCATCACAGAATACTGTTTCACCTTACCACATCAGGAAAAAAATACACATGGTGTAGACAGAAATTGCATACTTGAACATTTGTGCTTTCAGACAATGTGGGCCTGGGATTAATGAACATCCTAACCTGCTGTGATTTAGTTCAAATGATGATTCTGTGCACCATGAACTGGAAGATAGCAAGCACCAATTTAGTGAGATGTAGCACTATTAATTTCTACCTTTCAAATGAAACTGCTTAAAAGGATGAGCATTCTGACAGGTGGCAATAATAGTACTGCCTTTCTTTTTTTGCCAGAATTTCTGTGGCTTATCATCCCCAGTGCATTGAAAAACAAACCTAAGTGTTTCTGGAAAGACTGGCTGCTGGGTTTGTTGGTTTTGTCCCTTTTTTTCCCCCTGCTACCAGAGAATTTCCAGGTATGTCAAAAAGGGCTGCCAGAGGGTTTGCCCTCTTGGGTTAGCTAAAGATGCAAACTTACCTACTGTAGGCCTTTGATGCATTCCAAGTACCAGTCTGAGCTTGGAAGAGCAGGAATCACTTCTTGGTTCTGCCACCACTTTCCTGTATACTCTTGAGGTAGCTTAAGGAAAAAGAAAAAAAAAGACAATTTTTCACCATGATAGACTGTGGAGGTATGGTCTTTTGATCCTGGGATTACATGTTAACACATGTTATCTCTTAGGTTTCCACTGTTTAAATAAATATGGTGTAAATAGTTATTAGTGTAAAATTGCTCATCTTCCTTGAGAGGAGGGTAGAGATGTAACCTGAGCACAATCTGTTCAACTAGTTAAAAAGAAGTTATATCAAATGGAGTTTGAATTTTAGAGTTGCCTCCTATTCAACAGTAGTTGTCACTAACTTCAAGCATATCAAAAGACAATTCTTAGAAACCAAGTAGGTTTCACAGTGCTTGAAAACAAAGCTCCTACATGACACATTCTGGAAAGGAGGATTGCTTCTGAGAGTAATGGCCTTCAAAATGTGGTACACTGCTTACTTCCAGCCCCCTTGTGAAATGTCTCTTGTCCACTATTTACAGATTATGAACTTCATGTTACCACACAGTAATCACTCAGAGATCTTTCAGGAATCTTTGCAGTCATCTTTAGATTGGATCATCTTGAATATTAACTGTAGACCTTGTTTTCAGCTAGTGTACTGAGTAGGTACCATTCTGAGCTCTGCCACTGACAAATCTGGAAGCTTCTCTGAGCTTGTCTTTGTTACAAATGAAGTAGAAGCAAGGATTGCTTTTTATGCCTGGCTGAATGAAAGGCAGTCTGAAAGTGGAAATCTCTGGGAAGAGTTTTATCCCTAATGTATACAAAAGGTGCCCAGTGTGTTGGGCAGTCCGGATGTTATGGTAATATTGCTATTAAATATTTTTAGGTGTTTTTCCTCCACTTATTCACCATGGTTTTAAGCTGAATTGACAAGCTCACTATATGAACTGATTTGAAGTGGGTAAGCAAAAAGCAATATTTGTTATTTCACTTATTTAGGAATAAGGGTTTCACTATGGTTTTGGTCTTGGGTATTTATCCATGTTTTCCTTGCTCTCTTGTAGAATTCTTGGCCCAGAAGCCCTTATACTGCTTCAATCTGACATCCATGCAGGATTCAGAGATGATCCTTGCTGCCACTTTTCACTTCTATGCTGAGAAGCGTCCTCGGCACCAGGAAGTGTTTTGTAAGCGATCCAAGAATTCATCCTGCCGCCTCCTTCACCTGTCTCCGATCCTGCGGCTCAACCTCATTTTCCAAAGCATTCACCAGAATTCTGCCTATGGGCTAGTGAAAGGGAACTTCACTATGTTTCTTCAAAGGCGAGGGGCTTGGCATGCAAAGGACATTTCACACATCATAAAAGAATCAAAACGGGCTGGAGAGCTCATTCTCTGTGCTGAGCTTGATTTTGGAGAGAAACATAAAGGCTTCCCTGAGCAAGTCACCAGTCATTTACCTTATATACTAGTTTATGCCAATGATCTTGCAATCTCTGAACCTAACAGTGTGGCAGTCACCCTGCAGCGTTATGATCCTTTCCCTTCCAATGATGGGGACCCAAATCTGTCCCCTAATGCTTCTACTGATACTCGAGTGAGGAGGGATACATACCTCTCTAGCTCTATTCAGAACAATGAGTTGCCAGAAGTAGATTATAACAACAATAAATATAACAAACATGACATATGGGAGAATGCTTACAAATCCTTGAAACCAAAAGCCTCACGCAAAGACCGAAGGAGAAAAGGGCAAGAAAATACAGAAACACTTACAAAGTCTCAGGTGCTAAATTTTGATGAGAAAACAATGAAGAAAGCAAGGCGAAAACAATGGAATGAGCCAAGGATTTGTTCAAGAAGATACATGAAAGTTGACTTTGCTGATATTGGCTGGAATGAATGGATCATATCTCCCAAATCATTTGATGCCTACTACTGTGCAGGGGCATGTGAATTTCCAATGCCCAAGGTAGTATACCTTTTTGTTTCTGTCAGCTTGCAAACAGTAGATCTACTGTACTGCTTATCCAACTCCTCCTTTAGTTAGATTTTCTTTTAGATTTTACCTCTTTCACTGTATTCAGTTGCCTTGTTGAGCCTAAATAATTTAAACAATATCATTTTCATCAATGTATTTATGAGTGCAAAAAGATCCCAAGTTATCTTTAAAAGTAATCTGAAGAATAAGAAAAATGTCTCAGGTTTATCTTATGATTCCTCATCTTGTATCTTGAAATCATAACATGAAGACTTATGCAGCTTATTACAATACGGTTACACATACTAAATCATCAAACTACTCTGTTGTGGTAGCATAAGTATAAAGTATTAAATGCTAATAATAAAACAAAGTACTCTTATCAGAGTGTTTCTGAATTCCAGTGGTAATACCTCAGGAGAAAAACGCAGAGTAGTGACAATGAGGTATTTTTAACTTTAAGAAACTGCTTGTCACTTTGAAAATAAGAATACTTCTTAAGCTGATACTGTGTCTCAGAATTCTCTGGTGGTTTTTTTATTTTACTAAATTCTTAAGACAATCCTGCTGGAACAAAAACGTTGATTTATTTTATGTGGCAGGAAATGCCACATAGCTGTCTGTAGTACTCTAAAATTAGCATACTGAATTTCTCCTATAGAAGCAATGTGAAATTTGTTAATAGAAAGGCAAACATGAACTCCTGCTCCAATGGAATTTCAATTTGGCCCACTCCCACTCACTTGTTCTATGGCATGAAGTAGAAATTCTGGCAATCCTATGTAGCACAAGAATTACCGGCATTTGATAGTGCTTTCAAGTACTGGGGGAGGGGAGGATTTAAAGTACTGCATAACCTGCATGTTTAGAAACTGTAAATATTTTGCAGTTCTACCTGCAAGTGGCCTCATTATTTATTTTACTAACATTTTTGCGTGCTGTCACTCAGCATATAAATAGTGGGTGGTGTTTTACAGGAGAGAATTTCAAAGCTTTGAGACAGGAATCTGCCCTACTTTACATACAGGGAGACTGATGTATGTTTGCGTTGAAATAGGTAGTATGATTACAGAAAGGGTAGGTATGTAGGCTAGTTTAAGTCCACGAACAGTGGAAATCCAGACATCACGGTAAGGCTATACAAATCTGACCACATGTTCTTGTGTAGCTGGCCAATGCTGAACCATGTACACATAAATTGATACATGGTCTGGTAAAAATTAAAGTGTGCGCAGGCTCACGTACAGCTTCACTTTTTTTTGTTATAGAGAGGTCATGCAACACAATCACAATTTAACTTATCCAAAACAAAACACAGCCTGGGAATATGGGTCCTCTGCCATGGACCCACAGTCTAATGCACCGTTCATACATACCAAAGCAAAATAAACCCCAAAACCTACATTTAATACATCTGGCTTCCTTTGAGCAAAACAGCATGACACAAAAACTGAAAGAAGCAAAAGAGAGTGGATCCATTTCTAGCTGAAATAGTTAAATAAGCTTATAGTGCTGACTTATTTGATGTCTCAAGAAATACTATTTGCTATAGAATAAAGATTCCCTTGTAAAAAAAAAAAAAAACAGTTCTCATTTGGATGCTTGTTTTCTAGATAAATGAATATGGGTGCAGTAGAATCTTGGTGCCAAAAAAAAAAAACCAACACCTAAAACAAACAAAACCAGACAGAAATTTAAAACTAAATCACAGATACATAAGTTCGGGGATTTTTGGTTTGACACACTCTTTGATTGGGTTTGATTTGGAAGAGGTCTACTTTTTGTTAGCTTTATATTTTTAAATGGGGGGAAAAAAAAGAGACAGATTCATAGTTGTAACTTTTTTAAATGACTGTTTCCAAATGAACAGAAATAACTAGGACATCAGCATGATTCAAGCTCCAGGTCAGAGCACAAGAATTGCTAAATATTACAGAAGCCAAAATAGCTTTTTTTCTTGCATATGTTCCCTAAGTCAGGAAAGCATGCATATGATATTGACACTACTAAATCAAAGGCCATATTAAGGCTATTCACTTGATCTACACAGCCTGTGATGGACAACGGGTTTCCAAGGTACTCTTTTAGAACTGTGGAGCTAGAAACATGCTTCGCATATTGAGAATCACCACACTGGATGATTATTGTTTTAAAGTATCAGTATATCACTCTGCACATCTACATTAGTAACTGCAATTCTTGATCTAGATACAAAACAGCTCTGGTACAAATCTTGTCATAGCAAGTTCACCTACCTTACTGCTGATGTTTTTATTCCCTGAACTGTGAAAGGGAAGACTGGTTTATATGGTTAGTACTGACTGGTTGCACTGTTCATTTGCCAAATAAATGCTAGTCCTTTGTGTGGTAGAGGTAGGCAGGAACATATCCTTTCCCTGGTCTACAGTAACTAGAATTCTCTTGATTTCATCCTTATACCTGTATTAGTTCATTAGTTTCATTTTGAGAGCTGAATTCAAACCTGAAAACAAAACTTGCCTGAAGCTAAGAAGTATTGCTTATTAAGATGGAGGGGAGGAGAGGGTATTGAGGGGCAAATTCATGATAAAACAGATTTTAAAAGGTGTGTAAGCCAGGCAGAAGGGCAGGGTCTAAAGTATGTCAAACCCGCTGTTCAATTGCTTTTTGATCTCATCACGGTCGTTCAACTTTCTGAGGCCCGAAATGTTCCTGAGCTGGAATTGTCCTAGAGGTTAAGTAAGAGCAGAACCTGGCCTGCTGTATATAACTTAGCAGCCAGCATTTAAACCATTAGCATTTCCCCAGTGCCATCACCACTGGGCATTCAACTCATTATTTCAAGCTTTCCATGTTAGCACATCAGTACAAAGTATAAATGTGAAGCTTAGCCCATGATCACTGAACAGTTCTGCCAGTTTTCCAGAATAGCTGGAAAATTCAGAGCTTGGCTGAATGTGGGATGGGTGTGCTGTCTGGCTCTGCAGTAGATGTCTGCTGTGGATGTAGGCCTCAGGTAGCCATATTCTGCATAGAGTAATAGTCCATAATAAGCATTTTTCTCTATAACAATTTTTGTGCATTGTGTATACACCTGCTGTTGCCTTGGTAAACAGCTGTTCATGCTAGACTTTGCTCACATCTATTTGTTCCTTGCAGATATTAGAGACTGCACAGCTGGAGAAGATCCTAGTAGGATCTTCTTCAAGTTCACACCCAGGAATTCTGTAAGTCAGTAACTAGCACTACAGGCAATGATGGCTATCCGCTGTATGAGGTCAACAGATTCTGTTTCAGTAGCACCTTAGGGTCTGTGACTATTTCAAACAACAATATGAAATAATAAGGGTGCTAGGAATATTTCAGGAGGTTTTTTATAAAGGTTGAAGAACGTAATTCTAGAAACTCTAGTTCTTTGAATTTCTAAACTCTGCAGTTGCTTAAACACATGAAAGCTACATCTGTCTCTCTCTTGCTGTCCAGATTTGCTGACATGGCCAATGCGGGTAGAAGCTTATTTCTACTTCACATAGCAGCTGGGAGACTAATTCACCACTGCTTGTCTGCAGACAGCTTTGAAATCTAAAGATGAAGGGCAGCATGAGAGAGCAAGCTGTTGCTAATTATGCCAACATACGCTAATTACAGAAAGGCACTTTCTAGGAGTGGTCACTTGTTGGGACTTGGTTATAGGGATGCTGTCTTGAAGCCCTGAAGGATCAAGGACAGATTTCACAGTTCTTCCTTGTAATGGCTCAGATGAGGTTGCTTTACTCAAGGAACATCTGAAAGCCTTAATAGCAATTAAGGTTTAGATCTGATATGTTACACTTAAAGCAAATGTATCAAAACTGAATTATCCTAAAATAGCTCCTTTGTTATACCCATGGACTACATAACTTTTCATGTTGAAATGAAAAATCACATTTTGCATATACACAATTATTATTGGAAAAATAGAGAAGATATGGGAGACCTTAATTCTTCTTACTTGAAGCATCTGCTTCCACGTGGAGGTGTGTAAAGTCCCTATTTGTTTTCCCACAGCTGTCATTTTCCACCCATTATTCAGTTATGTACCTATAATGATGAAAGATTCATGTACCACATATACCAGATATGTGCAGAAAACTTGTGAAACTGTAGCAAAAAGCCTGATATGACTAACACAATTTTCCTACTCTTACTGTACTAATTTGCTGGGACTGTATTCAAACATGACAGCTGAACAGGAGTCACTGAAGCTTCAGCCTCAGTGATGAGTTGCATGCCATACTATTACCTCATATAACTGGAGCACATGCATCCCATGTTATGCTGAGGCAATGACAAAGGAAGGCTGTCACTCTGTCGCCTCTTCTTGACTGTATGTCCCTCAAGCAACAGAAGTGGTGAAAACTCTTTAGTACTCTTCTGTTCCTCAGACTACAAGGGTCAAGTGTAGCTGGTGAATATAAGCAAAAAAATATTAAAATGCATATTTTATTTTAATATATTATAAATGTTTAATAATATGTATATTTTATTTGTATTTATA